CCCCCGCGCGGGGCCGGCGCGCCCCCGCCGGCGCCGTACGTCGCCGCAGGCTTCCCCGGCCATGGGGGCGGCCAGCGGCGAGGCGGAAAGGGCGGGAGGCCGGCAGCCCCGGAGGTGCTCAGGCAACTGCGTTGGAAGTGTTCAAGGCCAGGCTGGATGGGGCTTTGGGCAGCCTAGTGCCCTTGCCCATGGCACGGGGGTTGAAACTAGATGGTCTTAAGATCCCTTCCGACCCAAACCATTCTATGATTTTATGAACGGTTTCAGGCGTGCAACAGCGTCCTTTGCTGCAGGGGCTGTTCAGCTCTCCCGGTCCTCCTTTACACAAGGACCTTTCTTTGGTGGTTTCTGCGTTGTCAGCTGAATTATGTAAAATTAAGATGCCGAAGAATGGCAGTGACCGAGGAAAAGACTGATCTGCACTTTCCCCTCTTTTCCAGTGCTGTGATGAAGTACCCCGCGACCAGGAGACAGCAAGGGAAAACCCATGGCTTGGGTAATTGGGACACGTTTATCAATCAGTAAAGGGTCCCCTCCCCAGCAAAACTTGTGAAACATTGAGCCACAGATAACTTGGCTCTCCCCATCTTCAGGTTGGTGTGTCGGGGCTCGCCTCTGTGCAGCCCCCGGTGGCCCACAGCCTTCTGTGGTACGCAGGTTTTCCGCTGAAATCAAGGGAATATGCTCATGCCTTACTCCCAACTGACATCAGCAAGGGACCACATTGCCTCTTATAAAATAAAAATATGAATGGTGAGATATTTTCCTGTGCTCTTTAACTATTCATCCCCTCCTGGGATGGAGGAAATATTACAAAAAGAGCAAATAGGATTCCTTTCTATTCAACAAATAAAGGCATAACAGAAAACAGTGAAAGCATTTTGATTGGAAATCATTTTCCATTAGCTTAGCTATAACAAGAAGAAATGAGTTACAATAAACACTCATAATGATGTTTGACAGCTCTAGCACATAGTACTTTTTTGTCCTTTACTCTACGTCAGTAATGCTAATCTTCCATGTTGAAATGTTCCCGTAAGTCAATCTGTAGTCTCTTCAGTTAATAGAGCTCTACCTGAAGGTAGGGATCCACTCTCTTACAGTAGATCTGCTACCACGTTGGGGCCAAGCATGTAAAATATGGTATTTCTATTGAAAAATGATGATTCAGGAATTGAAACAGAAATCCATCTTGCTGTTAGTTCCTCAGAAACAAGATTTTGATTGGTAGCAATGGAATCTGTGGTACATTTAACGCTGTTCTCTTCAGCGCTTTGAAGTGGCTTGTGCCCTCAGGTACCCACAAAACAAAAACCAGAACAATTGTCTGCTGACTGCTGCTTGCAAAGGATCCTAAGTCCTGTTAGCTCAGCCATCCGCATCTTCTAAGTGCACTGTTTGGAATGGGCTACAATGACAGCAGCTTATTCTTGGTCCAAGCCAGGCTCCTCTTTCACGGGCAATAGAGAGGTTTAGTTCTTTTCTGTCCCCATCCCAACTGAGAAGCACTGTGCTGAGGTACAACACTTCTTAGTCTTCTGTCACTTCACAAGCACTGGTTCAAGCAACAGCACCACAATTTCATGGCTGATATGAAATAAAGAAATCCAAGATACGTAACATTTAGCATTCCTATTCCTTACTGAAAAAGCCTCCATTTTAGCATGCCTTTCCTATCTTATAAAACACCTTATAAGACAAATTGCACTTGTAGTGGCATCACAGGAAGGTGTTCTCATGGTACCTGTGGTGCTTCTGAAATCCTTCCATTCCTTATGCTCTCTTGCACCTTCTCTATTTCATCCAGCTTCTTTTGCCACATGTTTTGCAGAAATTGGAACCTGGAGCCCTTTCTCCTGAGTAGAAGTGGCAGATCTCAGGACCCATTTGGAGTGATCGTTAGGGTGCATCCAGGCAGGTACTTTCTGAGGGTGATACTCCAGAATGAGCAACACTAGTCTGAAGTGCATTAGGGTTGTATGGATGGTTGTTAGTCACATAAGAGAGGTTGCAATCACTGTGAAATTGCTCATGCGGATTTCACAATGGTGAAATTCCACTGTCTCTTAGATAAAGGCATCCTTTTCAATGGCAAAAATCTTCAAGATATTCTCTCCCAGTTGTACAAAAAGGAAAGCCCCTGGCTCCTCTCCCTAGCTCAGGAAGACGAGATACAAACATAACTTTTTAGAATTTCAATGTTCCTAGAAAGTCACAGTGCTGACTTCTGTAATTGTAGAACCTTAGAGGAAACAGCAAATGCATCTCTTCTTAGAATGTAGCATGTAATGTAAGCA